TTGCCTTCTGACACTTTCCTTATCAGCTTCGGAGAGCACAGCAGCCGCGCTCAGGGACAACCCCGTGCGCACCCCCTACGGTGTCAAGAAAATGCCACGCCTGCGATTAATGGACGACCGGCACGGATAGCAGCCGCGCTCAGGGACCACCCCCTACAAAACCCCTATGTTGTCGAGAAAGTGCCACGCCTGGACGACCGGCACGGATAGCGGCCGCGCTCAGAAGCCACCGCCTGCGCACACCCCATGGCGTCGAGAAAATGCAACGCCTCCTATGTCTGGACGCCGGGCACGGCTAACGGCCACGTTCAGGGACCACCCCCTGCGCACCCCCGACGGTGCCGAGAAGGTGCCACGCCTGCTATGCCTGGACTACCAGCACGGATAGCGGCCGAATTTAGGAACCACCCCCTGCGCACCCCCTATGGTGTCGAAAAAATGCCACGCCTGCTCTGCTTGGAAGACCGGCACGGATAGCGGCCGCGCTAGGGGATCACCCCTTGCACACCCCCTATGGTGTCGAGAAAATGCCGCGTCTGCCGTGCCTGGACGACAGGCACGGATAGCGGCCGCGTTCAGGAACCACCCCGTGCGCACCCCCTATGGTGTCGAAAAAATGCCATGCCTTGGACGACCAGCACGGATAGCGGCCGCGCTCAGGGACCACCCCTTGCGCACCCCCTATGGCATTGAGAAAACTCCACGCCTGCTTTGCCAGGATGACCGGCACGGACAGCGGCCGCGCTCAGGGACTCCCTATGGTGTCGAGAAAATGCCACGCCTGCTATGCCTGGACGACCGGCACGGATAGCGGCCGCGCTCAGAAGCCACCGCCTGCGCACACCCCATGGCGTCGAGAAAATGCAACGCCTCCTATGTCTGGACGCCAGGCACGGCTAACGGCCACGTTCAGGGACCACCCCCTGCGCACCCCCGACGGTGCCGAGAAAGTGCCACGCCTGCTATGCCTGGACTACCAGCACGGATAGCGGCCGAGTTTAGGAACCACCCCCTGCGCACCCCCTATGGTGTCGAAAAAATGCCACGCCTGCTCTGCTTGGACGACCGGCACGGATAGCGGCCGCGTTCAGGGACAACCCCCTGCGCAGAAAATGCCACGCTTACTGTGAATGGACGACTAGCACGATAGCGGCCGCGCTCAGTGACCACCCCCTGCGCACCCCCCAATGGTGTCGAGAAAGCGTCGTATGATTTGTGTGTGCGTGTGTGTGAGTGTTGTGCGCGCGTGGCTATAGAGACGTCCTTGTATGATGTGAAGAACGCGCACGAGATGTCATCCCTCTCGTAACTGCGTGCAGTGTGTATGTGTGTGTGTGTGCGTGTGTGCGTGTGTCACGTGGTGTGCGGCTGTACGTGTGAAACTGTATGACGTCGTGACAGTGATGACGCGTGAAACTGTATGACGACCAGCGTGGAAGGAGAAGGGTGAGGGAGGTGATGGGTCGCGGGCGCGACGCGGATGGGAAGAAAAAACATAACCCCACGAAACATGTGGGGGAACTGAGGAAATGAAGACAAGAACAAAGAGATATAGAGGGAGAGACCGAGATAGTGCTTGCATGTTTCCAGTGGTGGACGAGGTGGCACTGTGTGTGAGAGAGGCAGAGAAGAAGAGGAGAGAGAGGAGAGGGGGACGGAGAGAGAGAGAGAGAGGGCCGTCCTTCGCGTGAGGCTTCGTAGCATTTTAGGGGAGTCAGAGAATCACAAGGATGTGCTGCACGTTTGTTTTGATTGGTTCTTCACCACATCGCTCACCCTCCGGATCCTCGCCTCCGGCTCCTGTCCACGGCGTACTTTTTCCTGTGCAAACTCCTCGGCACCGCCTGCACCCCGGGCCCCGCCCTCTCCGGCCGCCTGAGGCCCCGCCCGCCTGTGCCCTGTCTCCCCAATTAGAGCTGTGCGTAGCCCGCCTAGCTTTTAGCGGAAGAGGTTCGCTCTTGCCCCGCCGATCCAAAAAAATGTTTTGATTGGTTCTTCCATGGAAATCACAGATTTCCTCATCCTTCTTAGAACTACGAATCCTGTGACCGACCAAAAAATCACTACCCTGTCGAAGAACCGCACGCATTGTAAACGCATGGTGGATATCAACAGAAATGCTTAATGCACATAAGCATACTGAGCGATCTGCTTTACCCAAGAACGCTTCGCCAAGAAACGGAAAAACACACTCAAACCGCCACGATTAGTGCGCGCATTCTCACGATGCAAGTCGGACGCGGGAACGTGTGAGGGGCGCGACGAAATGAACCTGAGTACGCATGTGAACCCTGCCACTGGAGCCTTTGGCGGATCTTTCTCTGGGGCCACGAAACGTGTGAGGGGTGTGGCAAAATGGACCCGAGTACGCATGCCAGACCCTGCCACTGGAGCCTTCGGCGGAGCTCTTCATGGAGCCACGAAACGTGTGAGCCGTGCGGAAAAATGGGCCCGAGCACGCATGCCAGACCCTGCCACTGGAGCCTTCGGTGGAGCTCCCCATGGGGCCACGAAACGTGTGAGGGGCGTGTCGACATGGACCCCAGGAGCTCCCAATGGGGCCGCGAAACGTGTGAGGGGTGTGCCGAAATGGGCCCGAGTACGAGCGTGTGAGAGGTGTGCCAAAATAGACCCGCGTACGCATGCCAGACCCTGCCACTGGAGCCTTCGGCGGAGCTTCCTATGGTGCCACGAAACGAATGAAGGGCGTGCCAAAATGGACCCTGGTACGCATGCGAACCCTGCCACTGAGGCCTTCGGTTGAGCTCCCAATGGGGCCACGAAACGTGTGAGGGGTCTGCCGAAAAGGACCCGGGTACGCATGCGAACCCTGCCACTACAGCTTTCGGTAGAGCTCCCTATGGGGCCACGAAACGTGTGAGGGGCGTGCCAGAATGGACCCGAGAAACCATGCGGACGCTGCCACTTGGAGGAGGAGAAGAATGAGGAGGAAGGAGGGAGGGAAGAAGACGCGCTGCGCTGCGAATTAAGAACGAGGACCCAGCAAGCAGGAGGGTTGGGAACAAAAGCAAAAAACAAAACCACCAAACCTGTGAGACAACTCAGGAAACTAAAAAGTCACAGGTTTCAGGATCCCACGAGGGGGAGGGCCAGGGCCATCGGGAACCCTCCCCCGCCTGGAGTCCCGAAAATAAGTGGTTTCTTGTTTGTGTGGTCGTCTCACACTGTGTGTTTGGCTTTGCTTGATGGGTTTTGGTAGTGCCACAAGTTTCGTAGCTCTGAGATGACGACCTGTGACTGCCACTGGAAAAAATGGGCATGATTGGTTTTTCAATGACAGGCATTGGCTTCCTCGTCTTGAAGCTACGCAGCCTGTGACACGACCAACAAAAACAACAACGGAAAACACTCGATAAAAAAACAAAAAAACAAAAAAAAAAAAAAAAAACGTTCGGGATCCCAGGCGGCCAGGGCCGGCTGGGTCCCTCCCCCGCCTGGGATCACGAAAAAAATATTGTTTGTTGATTTTGAAGTCTCATAAAGTTGCTGTATGATGATAATGTTCATGTTGTTGGTAGCGTCACAAGTTGTAGTTATGAGATGAGGAAACCGCTGATCTTTCACACACACACACACACACGCACATGCACATGCATGCATATAGATGTATCCCTTTAAATTGCACACATCTAAAATGAGAACATACCTAGATCAATATATATATATATGTTCATATATAGGTACATGTATATAGCAGTATGTACACGTATGCAAACATGACAAAATATATGTACGTATGCACATGCACGACGTACAGACGTATGCGTGTATGTACCAAAATGTGTATGTGTGTAAGCAAGTAAGTATGTATGTGGGTATATAGATATTCATGTAAGCATGTATGTGCAACTGCGTAGGTACATACACCCGTGCATATATGTACATATATGTATGTCAGATGTTGTACACATATCGGTGTACACACATACCTACATACATACATTACATACATACATACATACATACATACATACATGCATGCATGCATGCATGCATGCATGCATGCATACATACATACATACATACACATATACATACATACATACATACATACATACATACATACATATATGCATGCATGCATACATACATACATACATACATGCATGAATGCATGCATACATGCATGCATGCATGCATGCATGCATGCATACATACATACATACATACATACATACATGCATACATACATACATACATGCATGCATGCATGCATACATACATACATACATACATACATACATACACACATACATACATATAGAGAGAGGGTAACGGAGAACGAGAGAGAGAGAGAGAGACAGAGAGAGATGCTGAAAGTACACAGAAACAGACACGCGTGAAATACCCGTGTCTGGGACGTGGGCCAGGGGCGTCTTGGACGCACCTCGGGGTGCCGCGCAGTGCCTTGCGTGGGCCTCTTCAGAGCGTCTCGGGGCCCCTCTGGGCAGCCCCTTTGAGCCTCCGCGGGGCCGCCCGGGAACCTCTCCATGCCTCGTGGGAGCGTCCTGCAGGCGTTCGGGATGGTCTTTGGGGCAGGTTGGGAGTCGAATCCCCATAAATAATGATCGGAGACCCCGCTGGGCCCCGTCTTGGGGCCGTGTTGGGGCTCTCTTGGGGCCTTCCTGGGCCACTCCGAAGGCTTCTTGGAAGCCTCTTGGGCCGTCTTTTGTTTTTCGGCGGATCTAATCAAGAGCAGACGAAGTCACGCGGGTCTATCCGAGATCCGACAAAATCGTACCGCATGGGCCGCACGCGGCGATACCTGAGATGTTCAGCGCGCGCACGTAGCTTTGCCGCACATCGCTGCCACACAGGCACCGCCAACGGCTCTCGACGTGAGGGCCAGAGAAGGCAGGTGCCCGAGTGACACCTAGCTACTAATATGTCGAGACATATTGCCCCGCCTAATCCGCTTCTTACTCGTTTCTTGCCATGACGCCTGGCCGCCATGGCGCGGCCCACCCTCGAAGCGCGCCTTACTCTGGCTCCTCGCCCTTGCACCCCTTGTGGAAGTTGGCGCAGCAGTACTTGATCTTCGGGGGGGACCACGACAGCTCCAGGCAGTGCATGCAGTGGTGGTACCCGGCGTCGCAGTCGTAGACGTTGTTGTCCGGGGCGGGAGGCTCGCCCGAGGGCGGCAGCCCCGAGGGGGGCGGCAGCTCCGAGGGGCACCCCCTCTGGGCCGTCTTGCAGCAGTACAGCTTCTTCTCGCCGGACCAGCCGCGCACCCACTGCAGCGGGTCGAGGTCGTTGTACCCCGCGTTGCAGTCGATGGGGCAGGGCGACGTGGACGTGGTCGGGCACCCCTTGTTCTCCATGAGGCAGCACTGTATCTTCTTCGCCTCGTCCCACGACTCTGGGGCACCTTCGCCGCAGTTGATCTTTTTCTGGGTGGTCGTGGGCGGCGGCGGAGGGGGCGGGGGCGGAGGCGGCGGCGGCGGGGGCGGCGGGGGCGGCGGTGGGGCCGCCGTCGTCTTCTCGGTCGTGGTGGTCTTCTCGGTCGTGGTCGTCGGGGCATCTGGCGGAGGGGTCATGATGTCCGGCAGTGGCGGTAAGGTCGTCGTCGTCGTGGTCGTGGTCGTAGTGCTCCCCGGGGCGAGCGAGAACAGGAGCAGCGGAAGCAGCAGCAGGGACAACAGCAGTGGAATGAGGATCAGGCAGCAGTTGGGGCCGCGGCCGGGAATGCGAAGCACCCCGAACTCGCCCGCGCCCGCCCCCACATACCTGTACGTCGTCTCCTGCGCATAGTCGCCTCCGGGACCCACGTAGCTCAGGATCGTGCCACCTCCTGGGCCTGCGCCGCAGCCGCTGCCACCGCCAATGCCGCCGCCCATGCCGCTGCCACAGCCCGTCGCTTCGGCGCATCCGGCACCACAGGCGGGACCGCAGCCCATGGCGGCGGTGGTCCCGGCGCAGCAAGCGGTTCCACAATCGGCACCGCCGCCGTACATGCCAGCGCCGTGCATGCCGCCAGCGTAGCCTGCACCAAACCCAGCGCCAGAGCCGCCCCAAGCGCCCCCCGAGCGGTAGTACGCCATGGCAGGCGGATCAAGAGAGACAAATCAAAGGCGACCTGAAAGAGGGCGGAAGATTAGAACAAAAAGTTGTGCCGGAAAGGCTTGAGCCAGAATGGCTGCGGGAAGCCTCTTGGGCCGTCGTGGGGCCCGATTAGGCAATCTTCGGTCCCTAGTTGTGGGGCTGTCTGTGAGGCCTCTGGGGCCGCCGTTGCTATGGAAGGCGCACACAATCGAACTTGTCAGAACGCTTCAGAAACAACGAAATACTATGTATCGGGGCCTCTTGGGGGCCTCTCTGGCCCTCTTGGGAATATCTCGGAGGCCTACGGGAAAGTTGGGAGCCCCACCCCAAACAGTAATGGCCCACGACCCTTCTCGGTTGTCTCTTTTTTTTGCTGGCTGCGTTTCGCACTCCATCCGGGAAGCAGCCAAACGATCGACGCCACAGAGGCGGGCACCACATGCACATCATATTCTCAAGGCGCGTGTCGAAGTAGTGGTGACACCGACCGGCTTGGCAACGCAAAACACGTCAGGGGGAGCGGACCCTTCTCGGCCGCCTCTCGAAGCGCTCTTCGGGCTCTCTTTGAGGACGTCTTGGGACACTGCCGGGCGGTCTCCGAAGCCTCTTCGGCCGTCTGGGCTTTCGCTCGGGCTGCCTCGGAACACTCCTGGGCCGTTGCTGCAGCCTCCGCGTGGCCCTCGTCGAGCAGTCCTGGGATCGAGCGGCCGACGAGGCAGGCATTCGAGGCCTGCTTGATGGGGTCGGAGCGGACGGGGTCGGAGGACTTCGCCGCATCGCCGATACGTCGGCGATGCATCGCCGATACGTCGGCGATGCATCGGCGACGGCGACGTGGAGCAAATCGGGCCCCACATCGAACCGCACCGGCGATGCATCGGCGGTGCGGCGCGATCCTCCGACCCCATCCACTCCGATCCCATCTAGGAGGCCTAGAGTAGGGGAACAAAAAGTGGCATAAACATAAAAACTCGGAGGTCCGCGCGGACCTCCGAGTTGTTATGTTCATGCCACGTTTTGCTCCCTTCCAGAGGCATGCCGAAACCAGACAAAAGTGAAGGGGCCCTGGGACACACAAATAAATACCCACCAATAAAAATATTCCCCATAGTTCCGTATATTTTCTGGGTTTCTGTCTTCCCCCCCACTTCCCATATTGTCATACCTATTTTCTGGGGAACCGACGATTCATGGTGTCTGTGTGTGCTTCTTTCCCTCCTGAATTTCATGCCACTTGTTGTTCCCTTCCAGAGGCATGCCGAGACCAGACACAAGAGAGCCAGAAGAGCACATTCGGCCCCGTGCATCCTGGAGGGGCGGGCCTCGGGCCTCCGTGGGGCTCCCGGCGCCGTCTCTCTGACGCCCCTCGCGGGCCGTGCCGGCGTCGCCGGCCCGGGGGCCCTCCTGGGCTGTCCCGAGCACCCCTGGGCGCCCTCCGGGGCCCCTTCGCTTCGAGCTATTGCGCCCCATAAATAATAATAATAATAATAATAATAATAATAACAATAATAATAACAATAATAATAATACATACATACATACATACATACATACATACATACATACATACATACATACATACATACATACATACATACATACATTACATACATACATACATACATACATACATACATACATGCATACATACATACATACATACATACATACATACATACATACATACATACATACATACATACATACATACATACATACATACATACATACATACATACATACATACATACATACATATACATACATACATACATGCACATACATACATACATACAACATACATACATACATACATACATACATACATACATACATACATACCATACATACATACATACATACATACATACATACATATACATACATACATACATACATACATACATACACATATATATATATATATACACCGATCCGGCGTGTGAGTGTCTGAGAGCGAAGACTTGAGCTCGCTCAAGCTTCGCTCTGCAGGGGGGGGGGGGGGGGCACGAATCGCCGAAACATTGCTCGAACCGCCCAAGATGCCCCGAAGACAGTTCGAGAAACCTCCCAGACGTCCCCAAGTCTTACCCCCCCCGGATCGGCGGCACTGGCCGGAGGCCAGCCCTATATACCTATATATATATATATATATGTGTGTGTGCGTGTGCATATACACCTGTATGTTTATATATATACACAGATATATATATATATATAGATCGAACCGGCGAACACCATGGGTTCGACGACGGCGACGACGACGTTGGCGACGTCGCCGTCGTCGAACCGCGCACACCTCTTCCACCACCCCACGTGCTTTGCCATTTCTCGCAGCCCCCTTTGCCTCCACATGCAGCTGCGTTTCGGCCCGATACGCCCGTTTGTCCTCCCCCCCTCGCCTCGCACACAGTGCACTATTCCAAGACTTTCAAGCGAAGCGCAGCGAGCTTCAAGTATGGTATACATATAAATGTACATCTCTTTCTCTCTCTCTCTCTCTCTCTCTCTTTCTCCCATCACCCTTATCTCCGTTTGTCCTGCCCTAGTGCATCCACCTCCGTTTTCTGAGCGCCTCGGCGTTACCATGTCGGTATATCGTTCTGCCTCTGCTTCTTCCATGCTGTCTCGTGCTTCTTCTTATTATTGCTGGTACGGTTATCTTCGTTATTCCTGGAAAGGGCTCGGGCCCTGATTTCTCTTTTAGTTTTGAATTCCCCCGGCGCCATGCTTGAAGGAGGCTGGCGAAATTATTTGCTATAGATACCGGGGTAAAGTCACATCCAGCGTGGAAAAAGCGCTTCGCTGGTGCCCGCTGGAGGAAAGTGCGCCCCCATCTCGGATCCTCGAAAAATAACGAGGTCTGCAGATACCCGTTTTCCTCTTTAAAGAAAATGGTGGGGCATTTTTATCAGAATCTTCAAGGAAAAAAACAAATCTGGAGCCGCGACCAGGACATACAAGATGTGAAAATGTTGACTTTTCGCGTGCCCGCTCAAGGATGGCGCGTCCTACGCGCAGAAATGCTGGGGACGTCTCGAGCGAAACGCTCGTTTTGCAAAATTTGATGGGCCTGGGAGCTCCAGGATGCCCAGGGGGTTCTGGGAGCGCAAATCAGAATTGATTTACAAGGGATCGCGGCTTTGGGAGCGCGGACGCCGCGTAATTTACGAGGGAACATGGTCCTGGGAGCGTGGATGCCGCTTACTTTACGAGGGATCGTGGCCTTGGGAGCGCAAATCCAGCATAATTTACAGGGGAGCGCGGCCTTGGGAGCGCAAGTCCAGCATAATTCACAAAAGATCCTGGCCCTGGGAGCGGACGCTGTGCAATTTACTAGGTATCGTGGCACTGGGAGTGCGGGCGCCGTGTAATTTACCAGGGATCGCGGCCTTGGGAGCGCGGACGCAGCGTAATTTGCAGTGGATCGTGGCCCTGGGAGCGCGGACGCAGCGTAATTCACTGGAGAACGTGGCCCTGGGAGTGCGGACGCCATGAAATTGACCATGGAGCGCGGCCTTGGGAGCGCGGACGCTGTGTAATTTACGAGGGATCGTGGCCCTGGGAGCGCGGACGCAGCGTAGTTTACAAGGGATCGTGGCCCAGGGAGAGCGGACGCAGTTTACTTTACGAGGGATCGTGGCCCTGGGAGTGCGGACGCCATGAAATTGACCATGGAGCGCGGCCCTGGGAGCGCGGACGCTGTTTACTTTACAAGGGATCGTGGCCCAGGGAGAGCGGACGCAGCGTACTTTACGAGGGATCGTGGCCCTGGGAGCGCGGACGCAGCGTAATTTACAACGGATCGTGGCCATGGGAGCGCGGACGCAGCTTCATTTACAGCGGATCGTGGCCCAGGGAGAGCGGACACATCGCAATTTACTGGGCAGCGTGGCCATGGAAGCGCGGACGCAGCGTACCTTTTTTTAGGGAGCGCGGTTTGGGAGCACGGACGCAGCATAGTTTACAAGGGATCGTGGCCCAGGGAGAGCGGACGCAACATCATTTACGATTGATCGTGGCCCTGGGAGCGCGGACGCAGCTTCATTTACAGTGGATCGTGGCCCAGGGAGCGCGGACGCAGCGTAATTCACTGGGGATCGTGGCCCTGGGGGGGCGGACACAGCGTGATTCACTATGGAGCGCGGCCCTGGGAGCGCGGACGCAGCATACTTTACGAAGGATCATGGCCCTGGGAGAGCGGACGCAGCGTACTTAACAAAGGATCGTGGCCCTTGGAGCGCGGACGCAGCGTACTTGACAAGGGATCGTGGCCCAGGGAGAGCGGACGCAGCGTACTTTACGAGGGATCGTGGCCCTGGGAGCGCGGACGCAGCGTAGTTTACAAGGGATCGTGGCCCAGGGAGGGCGGACGCAACATGATTTACGAGGGATCGTGGCCGAGGAGAGCGGACGCAGCGTACTTTACGATGGATCGTGACCCTGGGAGCGCGGACTTGGTGTAATTTGCGAGGGATCCTGGCCCTGGGTCAGAGACGTCCCGTTGCACGTTCCCTGACGCACTCCCCGGCACGTTCCCTGGCGCGTCGCCTGGCACGTTCTGAGGCGCGTCCCGTGGCCGAGTCCCCCTGGCAAGTCGCGCGGCGCGTCCCCTGGCGCGTCCCTTGGAACGTTGCGCGGCGCGTCCCCCTGGCATGTCCCACTGTCAATTAGCTCTCGGGCAGCTACTATGTGCTCAGGCAGCTCGAGCTCAAGATCCAGATTAGTTCGGTCAGGACTCGGATGCAAAAGAGGACTCGATGCACAACGCTATAGAGCACAATCGCGGCATGGCACATCACAATTCAACACGGCGCAGCACAGCACAGCCCTTGGTACGGTACATCAAGATCGATACATTCAGCATTGCAATCGCCCGTCGCCCAATCAGGTGTCTTGAAGACGTTGCCATGCCTCACATTTCTATATTCCTTTCCAGGTTCGTGGGTCGATCATGCCATGTTTCATTATGCTGATTATTATCATATTTTTGTTAACT